AAATCCCAGCTGCTCTGCCCCAGGTGTCCCCAAGTCAGCCGCTGCTGAAACTGACCAGTGGCTGACTACAGGAAGCTCCTGCCCCAGGCTTCCTGGAATCAGCCGCTGATCAGTTTCAGCAGCAGCTGACTTGGGGGCGCCTGGGGTTCTTAAGTTGAATCTATATGTAAGTCAGAACTGGCGTCCAGATTCAGCCACTGTTGAAACTGATCAGTTTCAGCAGCGGCTGAATCTGGACACCAGTTCCGACTTACATACAGATTCAACTTAAGAACAAACCTACAGTCCCTGTCTTGTACGTAACCCGGGGACTGCCTGCACTCTTTTTGCCTTTTGTATGTTACCCACTCTGAGTCCATTGTGTCTAATAGTAATAAAGGTCAAACTAGAATGTAAAGAGGAACTGCCTTTATAGAGGTTATTCCATGTAATGACAGTCAAACAAGTCACTTCTTTGTATGTTATGCTTTACAAAGGTGGCTGTTAATGGCCCATGAGCAAGGGTGGTTAGTAATCAGTCTACCTTTGCTATCTACATCAATTCTGATAGAGTAGTTTGATGGATAGTCCCCATTACCTCTCCAAACAGAATTCTTGTTATTTCATAATAATACGGGGTAGCATTTGTGACAATAATAAGGCAGACCTATTTCTCATGAAACTATAGGGAGAGGTGGGCAAAAAGGCCTCCATGGGCTGGATCCGGCCCACAGAGGCCCTGCCACTCCCCTGCCCCCAGGTCAGTTAGGGCCTGGGGGGCCGGGGGAAGCGCACACAGTTTTCTCTACCCTGCCCCCGTCCTGCAAGGAGCACGCAGCTCTTAGAAGCACCACATGCTCCTGGTAGGGCGAGAGGAGACTTTGTGTGCTTCCACCTCGCCTCAAATCCTGATTGGCCTGGGGGACAGAAGAGGAAGCATGCAAAGTCTCCTCCTACTGCCAGCGGCATAGGTGCCCAGACAGAACCTGGGGGGGGGCGCCAATCATGGTCTGGGGGCGGGGAAGCAAGGAAGTACCCTGGCCCCATCCCTTCTGCTTGAGGCCCTGCCCCTTCTGGTACAGCCCAGGGCCACTTAAAAAATTTCTGAAGTGGCCCCCGTCAAAAAATTATTGCCCACCCCTGTTAGGCCATAAGGCATTGTGATTCCTGAAGTGAAACTCTGGCCTCTATGAAGTCAATGGCATAACTCCCATTGACTTCACTGAGACCCAGATTTCACAGCACAGCCCTTTCAGATTCCCAACGCATCCTTAAATGTAATTTCCAAATGAGATATCCTCATATTAGGCATCCTCAAAACTTGAAGGTGTATTTTGTTTGCTAAGGATTAGAACTCTTAATTTACCAGGACTAGTATATTGCAACTAATTTCATTGTTAGCTTAAGTCACCCCTAACCTCTCCTTTCCCTTCATTTTTCAAATCCCCTCTTCCCCCTCCCAAAACTTGTATATCTTTTGTTGTCCAACATCTGTTCTCTTTTTATTTTGTTTGGTAGTTTTGATATTTAAATATATTTATTTTCAATTCATATCTAAAAATGTGGCTTCTTGAGGCCTACTTCCATCAAACCAAATATCCTTTGTTTTTGCTGTTTCTAGGCATTGCAAGGAATCTTCTGGAATTCGAAGGTGAAGAGAGCTGCCTAAAATGTTGATATGAAAAGTCCCTCCTTCCATTTTGAAACTTGAGTCTAATGCAAGAAACTCTGTTTAGTTCAGAGTGGCATAGCCAAAACTCAGAAGTCTTAAATGCAGGTAAGATACTTATTTTTGAGACAAAGATCCATAGGGTTGCAAGATAAGGACTTTTGTTCTGTAGTCAACATATACATGTACTTTATATGTATTTTTCTTATGCTGAGTATTGCTGACAACCAAATATTAATGGTATGATAGCAAAACATGACATACAGACTGTATTTTAATGTGAAGTGGCAAAAATTCCTTCCAAAGTTGATAGACATCCTCTCAATTTAATTTTCTCAAATCTAAATCCACTTATGGAGCAGAGTGTTTGAGATCTCTGTGATGTGTTCTGTTTTTAAAGATGCACCAATCTTTAATTTCAGCATTCATACTGGTTTCTCATGTGGCTGGAAAAATATAGAAATATTACACTATGTCAACTAGCAAAAGGGGAAGAGTGAGGTTTCCAGATAGAGAATTTCTGTTTACCAGTATTATAATTATTTCTTAGTACCAAATTCACTTTTGGTAAAGTGCTTATAAAGGCTGAAGGCTGGAGCATACATAAAAAGTATGAACTGTTGTAACCCATCCACAAGTACCACTGCATATGTCAGTGACACAAACACACACACACACTGGTGTGTGGGTTACACTGTGATCCTAGAACTTATACTCATTTATAGCTGTAATATAGATGGGCCTGAACCTTTCAGAACACTTGACTAAAACACAGGATTTTTTTGTGTAGCATAGACAGGACTCTCGTCATTTTTCTGTTCTGTGCTAAATGAGACCCTTGTGGTGTATGGGAGGAGCATACTTACTGTAGAAGTTGGCTGAAAGGCTCTAGAAACAGCTGACATGGAAGATGACAAAATCTGTGCAGAACCATGAAGATTAAAGGGCTGCAGCTTCAAATTTTTAAAATGACTATTGCATGATAAAATATTTTTTCTAAGAGCACTTTTTAAATAGGAAATCATCAATTGTTTAAAACATTCATTTTACAAAAAATGTAAACATATTTTGGCTCATCCATTGTTTTATTAATTTTATAATTTATGTTACGGTAGTGCCCAGAAGGTCCCAACTTGGACCAGGGCTCAGTGTGTTGGGCCTATGGAAACACATTCAAAGACATGGTGTGTGAAATCCTGGCTCGAGAGAAGTAAGTGGTAAAACTTCCATTGACTTCAGTACAACTAGGATTTCACCCAAGATCACTGCTCAAAAGACCCTGAATGTGTCTTTCAGATATATCTGAGAGCAACACCTCAAACATACTCCTGCCTCATCCTACTTTTCCTTGCTCTCTGCCTGTTGCCCATTTTGATTGTTTCAGCCTTATAGCTGATTGCTGGTAAGCATCAGTTTGGCAAGTTTCAGGGTAGATTGTACACCATGAACAAAACAGCAAAACTGATTCTGATACACAGTACTGTCACATACAGAAAGTGAGCAAACTGAAAAAAATATTTTCCTCTCTAATATTTCAGTTACCGTTACCATAGGAGATTACTGGTATCTGTGGTATAGGGACAAAATTTTGAGATGGAAATGTAATGTGTGGGTTGTGGTATCCATTTTAAATAGTATTTAAAAAGTCAAATTTTTCACCAAGAACAATGAGCAAGTAAAGCTTTTGTAAAAGGTATACAATAATTCCATAGTGTTTAGTAGAGATACTTATAGGAGGTTTTATGACTCATGTACAAAGTTTAAGGTACCATAAGGTATCAATAATTCAGAGAGTGTGGGATTGAAACATGGTCTTGAACACTATTACTATTTCCAGCAAATCAATTTGTTCCCCTTTTTGGTGGGAAAAGGGAGTGGTTTTACTAACCAGAAACACATGGCATGAAACAGTTGCCAATGTTCCAGTGAAAATCAAGGGCACACTTCATAATTATGAAGATTGTGTTTGCCCTAGTTTATTTTCCCTTTACGGATGCAACTGTAACTGTTGCTGTAAATTGCATGAATAATTGATCAAGGCAACTTCACATGTTGCCTCAAGTGATATTATGCTTATTGCTTTTCAAAACCATACTTCATTCTTTGTTGTACCACAGCTTTCCTTCTGTGCTTGTGATTTTTCTGATGTTCCTTTCCCCTCAATGGGAGTGCTGCCTTTTGCTTCAGTTTCCTCCATTATTTAACTGAAAAGTTAAAAAAAAATCAACAACATATTTAAAAAAAATAAAAAAGCATCTATGGTCGTGGGACTAGTGCAGTGTACACATCTGTTTTCATATAAGCATGAATTGCAGGCTTTACAAATATTAAACATGTAGCTGTTGCCACATACTGGCTAAAGTGTTCCGTAACTTGAGAGAGTATTTGAAATGAAAACAAAACTGTATCATTTCTTTACCATACTAATGGAAAACTTTTAATTTACTTTCTAAAGCCAACCAAAAGAATGACACAAAGCTGTTGAAAGAGATTGGTTATGTCTCTTCTCCCATAAAAATCTCAATTCAACTTGAAGGTGCTGTCATGGGAGTTGGCTGAATTCCAGATATGTTCAAAAGTAAACTTCTGTACCACAAACCAAAACTGATGACTATGGTTTCTTTAGTCATCACTTTGTTTCTCAGATATTATGGGGTGGACTTGTATTCATTGCTTTTCACTGTTTCGTTTCTACTAAGTATGTATTGAAATTTCAGTCTAGCAAATTTCAGCTTGCTTGATTTAAAAATAATACATTAATGCAACTTCAGCATTTCACGAATCAGAAGTGCTCAGAACATTTAGCCATGGGGAAGATATTGCCAAAGCAATCTCTCTCTCTTCACCAACGGCAGTTTGATGGAGCTTCACCTTAAAATACATTTGCAGAGGAAAAAAAAGCCTTTGTTTTTCATTTGAAATACAAACCTTCATTTTAAAAAAATTTAAGGGTCACCATGTCCTTTCCATCCTGCAGAGGTAGCCTTAAACATGGGGAATAGACCTTCCCATCTGTTTTTTCTTTCCCCCCTCACACTGAAAAAGGTCTAACATAGAGTGCAATTTTTGCTAAATAGTTGGTTCTTACAATAGAGCCACTTATCCTGCAGAAGTAAAGCTGGCATAGCAGGTTTTTATATTATGCCAAATTTTATGTCTTTGTTTTAAAGACCACATCTTCTTCAGTGGTTTCTTTTAGCATTACAGAACAAACATTTGAGTAATATCTCTGTCTTTATTTAGATGGTTGCAGCAGGAAAAACCTCTTCTGTATCAGTAGTTCTCAGCTTCTTCTATAATGGGACACCTTCCTCATTTAAGGAGTGTGGGAAGGGCAGGATGTTCCAGAATGAAAACCCCCCTTGCTTGCATAGCACCCATTACAATGGTCCCTGATCCTTCTGCATCCCTGGTGAAAGCCTCCACTCCACCTTTGTTTTGTACACATACACACATCCAGTCCATTGCACCTCCAGCTTTTTATGGACATACAGAAAGATGTGGACAAATAAAAATGTCCAGAGGAGACGAACAAAAATGATAAAAGGTCTGGAAACCTGACCTAAGAGGAAGGTTTAAAAAAATGGATGTGTTTAGTCTTAAAAGAAGACTGAGTGGGGGCCTGATAATGGTCTTCAAATATGTTAAATGTTCTCTATGTGCACTTATGTTAGGACAAGAAGTAATGGACCCAACGTCTGCATGAGTGATTTGTGTTAGATATAAAGAAAAACGTTTCCAGCTATAAGGATGGTTTTACTCTGGAATTATCTTCTAAGAGTGATTGTGGAGTCCCCATCATTGGAAGTTTTTAAGAACAGGTTAGAAAAATGTGTCAGGGATGATGTAGGTATATTTTGTCCTGTGTCAGTACTAGAGGCTGAACTATCAGGGTCCTTTCCAGCCTAGGGGATGTGAAGGCTAGTTGACTATCTAATAAGCAAATGCTAGTCATTCCCTCCCTCCTTGCTGCTTCTATCAGAAAGAGGCATCCAAACTCCCTCCAGCACTCTGGAACCTTCTTATACCCCTCCCTCAGGACAGAATCCTCTCCTGCACTCCAACTCCCTCCTAGATCCTGCACCTCCTCCTTCACCCAAACCCTTTCCCAAAACCCATATGCCCTTCTGCACCCCAGTTCCTTACCCAGAGCTTTCTTCTGTACCCAAACTCCATCCCAGACCCCTCAAACCTCCATTAATATAAAAATGCAGACATTGATCACATACCAAATTCTTGGAGGGACCCTTCTCCCTTTCTCCCTCCCGTCCCCCTGTGGAAACTATTGTACGCCACTAGCATGTGTTCCAAACTTAGAAAGTGCTACTAGCTTTACTTTCTAGGTGACTTCTGCTGCAGGGCTGGGGAAATAGGGCCTTGTGTTCAGCATGGGCAGGACAGTGCTATGCTTCAGCATCAATCTGCCTGGGTTATTGGCTGTGTTGACAGTAAACCCATTTTCTATCTGTTTCCTTTGGCACACAGAAATAATCATGAATATAGTTGCTTTCAAACATAAAACAAGTATGCTAACAGGTTGTTGTTTCAAAAGTAGCCTGAGACATTTGGTGTGAAACTATATGAACTGAAACTCACAAGGCTTAAAACTAATCATTCACTTGTCTTAAAGAAACTGAAGAAAACACTAGACTTGTGGATTTGTGTTTCAAAGAGTAATTTTTTTTAAATTGTTACTAAACAGATTTACTTCCTGAAAATTCAGTCATTGCCCTAGGAGTAGGTAATATAAATTTGGTGATAAACTTTTTTTATATGTATTATTATTATTAGCAGTTTTGGGGAGCCTTCTGTGAGTGAGATGATTATGATTAGCATAGTAAATAGGAGTTATAGCACAATGACTGCCAAGTGAGACATGACCTAATGGGATTTAGTCACCACTAAATTGTAACTGCAAATCTCAGTATAACCTTAATTATTTTCTGGTGTGGGTCTGTGTTGCAGATAAATTGTCCTCCTACTGACAGCATCAATTAGTCAGAATGACCAGTCAGGATTTGTAAGGTTCATACAGTCCCTACAGGTCATGCTCCATTGGTGACTTCCTTACTAATACTTGCAGGTATGCTGGAAGAATTTTAAGTAGC